TGTTTGATACTATTTCTTTCAAACCGTATTAAACCGAACCGAAACCGATAAAAACCGAACCGAACTAAAGAAACTCAAAAAAATTCATATATTATCAAAATTGGTGGTTTGATTTGGTTTGGTTTGGGTTTACTTATGTAAACTGTTTGGTAAACATTTGCTCAAACCGAATGGTTTGGTACTTTAGTTTGGTTTAAAACGGAAAAACCGTAAACCGAATCGAACACCGAACACCATACACACACACACACTTTGTATTTATCTTCAATCTTCATTTTTTAAAGATAAAAATAAATAATTTAGCCATGAAAATACATATTTAAGCATATACTCATATCATTTTAACTTTTACACATTTTATACATTCATTATGACAAAGTTAGCTAATACAACATATTTGTATTAATTGTGTTTGACGATAACTACTATAACAAATTGCATTTATATTTTTACATGATTCATTTAAATAAAATTGTTAATATTACAACATTTGTAACACCGACTCTTTTAGGTTTTTTGAATATTTTATGTGATATTATTAATGCTAATCAAGTGTCTTATTTTTTGTAAGAAGTGAATTTTTTGTAGTGATAAAAAAGATGTTAGAAGTTTCAATTTATAATATTTTTATTATTTATTTTTCTATCTTTTATTTCCTTTTGCATTTTATTTAAATAATCAATATATTAAAAAAAGATGAGATGGACTACTACTTCCATTTTCTAATTATGAAATATGGAACTTGATCAAATAAAATAATAAACATAAGCAAACGAATCAAATCAAACTAAATTAAAAATAATATTTTTTACTTTGGTAGACCGAACTTCAAACCGAACTGAACCGAAACCGAACCGAAACCAAACCGAAACACAAATGGTTTTAGTTTGGTACAAATTCTCCAAACCCGAATAAACTGAAAACGAACCGAAACCGAAGAAAACCGAACCGTAAACCAAATTGTCCACCCCTACAATATATAGTGCAGTCTATTTAATTAGACGTACGAACTAATGTTATCAAATCTAAAAGAAAAAAATGCACAAATATGAAGGGAAAAAAGCTGCCTAACAGAGTTTTGAAAGCCCTGGTTACAGAAATGTTTTATTCTATATGGCTAGAAAGGAACCAGAGAATTTTTATGGATACACATTTGGAGTTATAGATTCTTCTTCGACGGGTAGTACAAAAGGTTGTTGGTAGACGTGCTAAAGCTGTGGAGATTGCTCGTTTCTTTAACGGCTTTTCTCATTATCTTGTTATTTAGTCTTGTAAAGGTTTTGGTGTTTTTGGATTGTTTCCCCCCCCTGCTATTTAGAGGTTACTAGGGCTTGCCCCTTTTTGTTTAAGTGAGACGATTGTGCTTATTTACCAATGGAAAGAAGTAAAACAAGCTTATTTCATTCCAAAAAAATAAACATAAAATTCGAAGGGTAAAATGTGTGTCGGGGCGGGTGCTTGGCTCCTAGGTAATGAGTCGGCGTGGGTGCAATCACCTAAACTGGTTGGGATATATGATATGAATGTAGCGGCTTTAAAGGCTTGAAGATGACAAGAGTTGACATGAATCTAGGGTAACCGATTTATTATCCCCAGGGGAGGCCAAACAAATAATAAGTTTCCCAATTAGCATGGTTAACTGCAGGGGCGGAGCCAAGACCCTGGGCCAGACTGGGCCGGTACAAAGAATATTTTTGAAAAAAAAATTACACGCAATTTTTTACATTAAAAATAAAGACATTTTTAAAATTTGGGCTGGGCCAGGTCTGGCCACCCCTAGCTACGCCACTGGTTAACTGTGAAGATGCCTTTTGGTGGAAGGGAGATTGAGATGGGAATTTTTCAGTAAAGAGTTGTTATCGTTACATTGTTGGAAATTTCAATCAAGCTACATGGACGGTGATGTGAGTTTTCTCGCACTTAAAATAGATTGTAGTAAAGGGTAGAGGTACGAGTATCGTCTCCACAGGGACAGACAAAATGGAATTAAGAATTAACTAAATTCAATGATTAAAAACAAAATAAAATAAAAAGCAATTGTGCGAGATTTGAATGAATGGAAAATTAAATTAAAAAGCAAGAAACGAATAAAATAAACTGGTTTCTTCTTAATTAACGACGAAGGGAACATGGATTGATTCCAGGTTAACCAGATTTCTGGCAGATCGGGCTTAATTACATGAAATTAATTTAATTGAGCCTAGCTAATAATTACTAAGTTCTTACCGCTCTCGCGGCGTAGAGTACGATAATTTAGGGGACCAGACTGATATCTCATGCCAGAGGTTCCTAAATTATTGCCAAGTCGAGCGAGCTTATGGCCCCTTAATCACTACTAATATCTTAGTGAGCGATTAAGTGTGTGTGAAGGTGTCTTAGAATAAACTAGAGCTCTCTTAATTTATTCTACAAGCAATTGTAATTCTAGCGGTCGTCTAGGTTACAAGAGATATCAATCAAATTATTCAAACACAAATTAAACGACATTCATGCAACTAATCCATCAAGAATCTAGCCATACATCATGATTAACCCCTTCATCAATCCCAAATCCCTAAGTAAACTACTCACAACTCATAATTGATAAATCAACATAATTGGGAGTAATAGAAATAATTGTCATTAATTAAAAAGATGAAACTTACAAATAATCCAAGGGTCTTCAACAAAATAGCGGAAAACAATGTAAAAACTCGTCCCAAGGCCTCTCTATGAAGTTCGTAACCCCAAAATATGAGTATGGAGGTCAGGCCTCTTTATGAAGTCCGTTTATAAAAAACGGACAAAATTCGGCTCAAACTGGGATTTCCAGGGTCAGGCACGATGCCAGGCACGACCGTTCCTGAGACCGTGCCTCAGGAGTAATGACACGCGTTTTGAGGAGGCACAGTCGTGCCTCCCTCCAGACACGATCGTGCCTAGCCTTCAGTGGCTAGGTACCTGTTTACACAACAGGCACACCGTGCCTATCTCCCATGCACGACCGTTCCTGGCCATTTCGCGTCCGAATTTGACAATGCTTTCTTTATTAAAGTTGTAGATAATGACGTCCTCTATCCACCACAACTTGTAAAAATGGATTTGAATTATCCAATCAAAAGATATAAATATAATAGTGGAAGGTGGCATTCTGAAATCGCAACAACGATCATCTGACTTCCTCGTCTGTTTTAACCTTGCTCCTCTCAGATTCTCGTCGTGCTGTATTCATATGATTTGTATCCCTTGAAGTTACCTTTCATATGGAACTCTAATTGTATCCTTTGGATGTTTCTACAAAACGATATGCTTGAATGATTGGCAGAAGGTCATCCTGACCGCCGTTTTCAAGCTCTATTCGTCTTCTTTTGAGCCCGTAGCCAATGCTAGAGTTCTTTTATCATCAAATCTTCATAGTGAACCTCCCGGTGACCTCGAAAGCTCTCAATTCACTCTCTAATGCTCATCAACTCAACCCGATTGCTTCTCAAGCGCCAGTGTCGGACTCTAATTTCCTGATTTTGACTCCAATCAACACAAATCTCGAACCAACGCCCGGTAAACATAACTTGAGCTAAAATTGAGACTTGTGACACCTTAAAGCTAGGAAAACCATCAATATCCGATCCCAACACACATCAAATGCGTGTTGAAATACGAACTTATCAGACGGGTTGGACCCAGATGTGGAATTTTAATATTCCTCTTAAAATAAAGTTTTTCTTCTAGCAAATTATGGTGGGTTGTCTTCCTACGTCGGTGAAATTATGCAGTAGAGGTGTGCAGATTTCACCTATTTGTAAGTTATGTGGAAATAACGAGGAGAACACAGATCAAGCTTTACTGATTTGTCCGCATACGACCACTATTTGGCAGGAAGTGGGTGAGATTTTCTGCAGTGAGGCTAATAGTTTTTAAGAATGAGTTATGAGGTGTTTAGAAGGTTCTGATGATGAGAAACAATGTAGGTTTGTGATGATTCTATGGAGTTTTTGGAAATGCCGTAATGATGTTTGGAAGGATTAAGTGCCAGATGGGCGGGTAGTGATTCATCGGGCACTAGATGGCAGGACAGGCGGGGACCTCAAGGGGGTCAAGATGGCAAAAACCAAGTGCAGGGTGGGTCAATATTAACATAGATAGGGCGAGGAATGAGGCTCAAATAATTCGAGCATGGAGCTGGGTTGCTCGGGATGGAAGTGTTGTTTTTACTCGAGGCTTTAATGAGTTCATGGAAGCTTGTTGCTCGTCGGCCGAAACCGGAGCCATAGGAGTGAGAGCGGCACTGCTTGGTGCCATGCAAGTAGGATGGCATCAAGTTGAGGTTGAGAAAGATGCTTTGGTGGTTGTCCAGAGTATTCACCGAGAAGGCGGCTCTTGTTATTTTCAGCTGGTCTTAGATGACATTTGTTTCACTCTTGAAAGTCATATTAATTTTAAGATTTCATTCTGTAAGCGATCAACGAATTGTGTTACACATTCTTTAGTAAAGGCAGACGTTTCTACCTTTAACCATAGTTCTAGTTTTGGGTAGGTCCCAGATTTTATTGTGAGTATGGTACACAATGACATGCTTCAGGAATGAGGGGGTGTTTGGATCTGATTCTTAAAAATGCTTCTGCTCTTTCAGAGAGCAGAAGCAGAAGCTCGAGTGTTTGGATGAAAATGCAGAAGCGATTCTGGTGCTCTAATTTACTCCTAGAATCAATTTTTTTTAAAGCGGGGGTGGCCAGTTTCTGAAAACTGATTCTGATTCTGATTCTGCTTTTTCTTTAAAAAAGAAGCAGAAGCAGAATCAGTTCCAAACACCCCCTGAGTACCATCAAAAATATACCCCGTGTGTAATTATTTAGACGAAAAAGAAAAAGTGGGTTTGTGTGGTTGATACTCTTATAAAATTGATAAAGAGATAAAGTAAGAATAGTTTAGAATCACACAAACTTTATCAAATTTGGTATGTAGCAATCTTAGGAAGAATTTCCCAAAAGTAAAATAAGACAATCTAACTTCATCTTTTACATTTCTGCTCCTCCTCCTCACTGCTCTTCTAGTCTCTTCCCCATCACTCTCCTCAGTCCTCCCCTTCTCTCACATTAAAAACGACGACCCCTGCAATCTTCGACCCCACTAATAGAAGAGTATCTGCTCGGTTTCAATCTCCTCTCACTACCCCCACCGCCCCAAGGCCGTTCAGTGTCAGATTCGTCCGAAAAACCACTCTAATCTTGATTGTGTAGTGTACAGCTCTAACCCAGAGAAGGTAAAGGTACTGATATTTCATTTATTTTCATCAATAACCTCTCCTCCACCCTTTAATCCGTGTCTAATTTAGGGTTTTAATGGAAATCAAAGTGGGTTTCTGACATACTGAAGGATTTCACTCTCCCCGTGTATTTTCTAAAAACATGCTTCGTATAATGTTAATGTAGTTATACTTGTGGAATTTCTCTATTCTTTTTTCGAAAATTTCCAAATTATTCACAAGCCCACATTGCATAGGCTTCTTTAGAGTAATTGTTTTTGTGTTGTTCCTGCTTTGCTTTGCTGTCATGTTTTTGGAAGATGCAGAATTTGTGTTGTCCACCTTGTTGAACCTTCTTTTTATCATGATTTTGTGTTCCTTGAATATATCTGTGTATTATACTATGTACATTTCATAAATAAGTGTGCATAGGTACATTCTATATACATTATAAAGGTGTCTATATCTATGTATATGTACATAGGTACATACTCCGCATATATGTGCTATTTGTACGTACCTTATTAATGAATTCTTGTTAATCTATCTGTGAAATGGGTAATCTAACACAGTAGTTGCTATTGTTTATAATTGTGTAATTTTACATCAACAATCTTGAAGCTTTTAAGAACAAATTCAAAGATATTTCCTTCTTGACAAAGGATGTACAATGGGGATTTTTGTTTTTACATTATTATTGGTGTTTTTTGTGACTTTTTCTATACGATAAGGTGCATTTATCCTTCATACAGGAGCACTGTAGGACATTTCTTTTGCCTTAATTTTATACTCCCTATATATTACTCCAATATATTAATAGATGGTTACTGTTATCATTGCTTCTTGCCCTTATTTGTAACTTCCAGGCTTTCTGTTTACTTGATCAGTGACAATACTATTTCAGAAAAACTCAAATTTGTCCTTTAGTAGCTGAGTTAGTCAATTACTGTACTAAACTGTTAACTTCAGAGTATGCATTATGCTGATCTTACTTCAACAATCAAACTAATTATAGCATGCCTGTGCAAGATTCTTTCTATTTTCTTGGCTGGTGTGAAATCTACTGAAAATCATTTATATGTAAGGATTTGACTTTTCATTCAGCAAGATCTCATATGAACGTTGGAGTCACACATCATACTATATTAATATGCTAAGGTGTATTCTAAGTGGGAACCATTAATCCAAGTCCTTACAAGTGAGACTTTCCTTGGATCCTGCCTTTTCAAATTAGGAATTTTTAGGAACTTAGCACCTAAATCATCATGCTTTATTGCTTTATCAGGTTTTCACCTATTTATGACACTTCCTATTGTTGCCGAGTTCAACTATGATTATATATCAATGGCCTTTTGACACTTCCTAGTCCGTTTTGGAAAATAGGTCAATGTAGAGGTTTACCGTTTACATTTTGTTTTTTAGAAGGTCGATCTACTTGTATAAAATCATTAGGGTAATTAATGCTTATCGGATCTGTTTCATTAAGTAACATCAGTTCATTAAATTTATTTATGAATACCATTCATACCAGTATTTGTTAACAGCAGTGTGTGCAAAGCTTGCACATGAGCTAGATGTGCCTTTGCAATTTAGCTTAATTGAAGAAACTCTTTCTGATGGTGATGATTGATACTAGTTCTTAAATGACTTAAAAACTTTTTTGGCATGTTCTGTGCATAATCAGGTACCTATGAAGAGTTCAGTATAATCAATGGAATGGCACCCTAGTGTGACACTGCATAAACAGTAAACACACCCTTCAATTTACCCAAGGTCTTGTTTGGAAAGGTGGAAAATTTTCTTAAAACCCAGTCACCCTTTACTTATTTATGGCTAGTAGTTCAAAAGGAGGGGGATTTCTCCAGTCTGATCAACCAAGCCTTCTTCCTCCATGGCTGTCTAATCCAAGCACCCCATCTGTTCTTAGACCCACAGCCCCATCGGTTGCCTTAAGTCTTTCCCCATCCACACTACCGCAACCCTCTCCTGCAATCCCATGGCTTCAGTCCGACAGAGGGCCCTCCGGTTTTCCAGCTCATCACGGAGATAACAACCCATTAGTTGCTGAACTTATGGAGTGCTGTAGAAATGTGGAAGAAGGGCACCGCGTTTGGACCGCGCATAAGAAAGAAGCAGCTTGGAGATTGAGACGGGTGGAATTGCAGCTGGAGTCTGAGAAGGCGTCGAAGATCAGAGAGAAACAGGAGGAAATTGATTTGAAGATAAAAGCTTTGATGGAAGAACAGAGGATTGCCCTGGACAGGATTGAGGGTGAGTATAAGGAACAGCTGGCGGTGCTGAGGAGGGACGCTGAAGCTAAGGAGCAAAAGTTGACAGAGCAATGGGCTTCCAAACACATTCGTCTCACCAAGTTTCTTGAGCAGATGAGTTGCCCACCGCCAAGGGAGGCTAGCGGCCAGTAGATTCAGTTATTCATTCCCGGTGTACGGATTCTTAAGAATGGCTTTGGTTAGTGCATGCATCAAGCATGATGCTTTTCTTACTGCTGAAATTTGTTTTCCACGCTTTTCATCTCAGAAAATTTAGCAGACAGTTATTTAAGCCATATAATCATAATTACCGAGCAGGATCTTAAGCTATTTAAAACAAGACATAAATGGAAGATGCATCCACCGTTTAATAGACCGCCCAGATAAAGATTTGCATCAAAACCATATCAAACTTAAACAATACTCCAAAATAAAATGCATTTAATACAAGATCTTACCAAAGTAGATGAAAACTAAATTGTAAGGAGTAAAATAGGAGAGTGGGATCCATAATTTGAGGGAGGGTAACATAGTTATGTTCCCAATGAGCCAACACAAATGATGTGAGAGGTGAAGAGTAGGGAACCATTCACAGAGAGGTGGGGGCAGGGATATATTTTCATATCCTGTTGCATGCATGCATGCATTAGTAGTAGTATCTGTTTGGCAGACTTTTTAAATTCATCTTCCTTGTTTTGTATTTTCAACAATATATTGAACTTTTCTTTAATACTTTCTTCCATCCAACCACTCTATTCTGTGATCTTTCTTAACAGTTATAGCATGCATTGCACCTGCGCCTACGTACTGCTTTCTGTGCTCTTCACCATTGTACACACTGATCTGATCTGTTCAAATGAAATGAAAGGACAATGATTTCTCATTAATTTACCACCCCCACATTCACAGTTTTTTCTTTATTTTTATTTTGTAGACTGATTTTTCTTTATTCAGACTGTGGACCCTCACTCTAGTTTTTTTACTATTTCCTTTTTGAATTTTATCTGTCACGTTTTACTTTTAATCTCTCCCTTGTCGTTTTACTTTTAGTCATTTGATACCCATCATATCTCAAAACCTCAACTTAAATTGCAAACACCATAATCACTATTTCAAGAGAAAGATTGTTTGAAGCTCTATACCTTCATTTCTCCAAAACTGTTTATATTGGAAATTAAAAATACTTATTAGCATTTTCTTATGAATTATTGTGCTACACAACTCTATGAATTCTTCATTCTTCAAACTAGAGTGTATCAAAGATGTTTAAAAATTACTTACAATGTGACGGTCTCTTCTGATCATGTTAAAGAGGGCCTCCAAAATCAATTAGCTAGCCTTGACACCCAAATTAGTTCTCAAGAAATGGCCTGAGATCATTTTTACTAGTTCATAGTTTGCAATCATTGATTGCAAAAGTCAAATATAGCTAACTAAAAGGGGATAATATTATATACTATAATGCATCGTAATTCTTCCCTTAGAATTATACAAGTCCTACTATGAAAAATGTTATTGTTAGACAGAAAATCCGAAATAGAACGTCCACGGAATTGGTGGATGAAGCCAATAAAGCTTCTAATAAAAAACTGAACTAAGAGAGAAAGAACTAGGGAGAAACAAAGTATATTTATTCTTGTAATTAATGTATGAAGCATTTAGGCTTGCTCAAAAGCAAGCGAACAAACAAATAGTCATGTAGATAAATGTCTATCTTTTCGTGCCTAACCTAACCTTAATTCTCTATCTTGGCCACCATTAATTAAATCAAACCATCCAACAAAAAATTGTCAAAAGATGAACCCAAAATTGGTTGGTTCTCAATAATGTCTTCAAAAGTTCTTTCTAACTCGCGTTCATATTCCGACTCCCCACGCGTCTCTTCATCTACAAATAAATTTCCAACATGAACATATCATTAGAATATAGCGCATAAATACCTAAACATGATCACAAGTACTCTTTTCAAACTCCTATTTTTTTGGACGCACTTTTTGAGGAGGAAATGTCAAGTATTATTGATTTTTTGTTTCAAATTGTTTCATAATTTACTCCTATTATAGACAAATTTCTGTTAAAATAAAAAGTTGTTCAAAAGTAATTAACAACCTTGTTCATTGACGGTCACGGAAGCTTCTCCGTCTTCATATAGAAAGGCCCATACTGCTTCTACGTCCACTATGTCCAATGATGTATACTCGAATAACACTAATAAATATCCATAACAAAAACAAAAAGAAACACGGTATTAAAAACGCAGTCCGATCTATACATATATTTAGGTTTAGGGAATTTGATTTTGCACTTCATTTTTTTGGGTTATAGTGAACTTTGCATCCCATTTTCAGAATCATTAATGTAAACACCCTGAGAGTCCAAAATTGTGTGAAGGTTCATGCCCAATGATTTCATGTTAAACGGGATGCACACATTAATGATTGTGAATATGGGCACTATATTTTTATTAGCAAAATTGGTTCTCGAGCCTTGCAAATCATATTTAGCCCAATAATGAGTTCTACATTCTAACATCATTTACAAACGTATAACTTTTTTTTAACAACATTGTATCGTGTCATGTTCATACTTCAAATACTTTTCTAATTCTTTACATCTTTTAGTGTGAAAAACGGGTGTAAGATTAAGCATATGAGCACAGACCCTAGGAGGTTTGTAGGGTCTGTGCTCATACGGAAGATGTCAATTTCATGTTTCAAAACTAAACCATGACACTCAGTTCACAATTGCACATGCCCTAGAATTTAACAATATATGATAATGATATGGAGTATTAATAATAATTAAAAGTCGTGATTATTGATAGTTAATAATATTTGAAAGTTAAACTAAATAATAAGCTAAGAACAAAAACTGAAGGATATATGATTGGATTTTTGGATGAAGACTCAAATTGTTGGATTACCTGGTGATGAATCATTAGTATTCATGGTGGTGTCATTGGTGTGCGCCGTGTGCCTCATCACACTGTCTTGTGTCTCATTTTGACTAGGGATGTCTTCATTTGTGCACCCTTTGAATCAAAAGGAAGACAAGATTATACAAATTGTTATTATCACTTTTATAGGTTGTTATAGGCTGAAGCCATGCCAATTCACTTTGTTTTCAAAATTTTAGTTTAAATTTTTCATTTTCATATTTAGCCCACCCACTAATGTTTAAGTCCAATCCTATCCCAATTCCTGAATCCGCCCCAAGAATGTGAAGAAATTAAAAGAAGGCAATAAACAAATAATCTAGATAGTGAGATACCTTCATTATTATTGTTCTCGAACGGTGGCGGAGGCACATGTTGTAAAGATTCAGCGGCTATTCTCACATTGTTATTTATCAATGCCGCTAATGATGTTTGGTTAAGAGGAAGTTCATCACCACCGCCCGTGATGACGTGGACGCCGCCAGCACCATGCACGACTCGGTCATTTCCTGTTTGTTGACCTACACTCATTCACAACTTACAAAGTTATCAAAAATACTTCCATAAATAAATAGGATAAAGACAAAACCCATTTCTAAACGTTATTGATTTAATGTAACATATTGTTGGATTTGTAATCTTTTCTCGACCATTTTCGATTAAGAAAAGTCAATGTGGTCATGTTTTGTTGGACCACATAGTCTAAAATGTTTTGAACTAATTACATCGGAACATGTAAATACAAATATACTTAAGGGAGCAATGATATGGTCTACAATCTACATGCATATACTAACATTAAAGAAGTCAATAAACAAATAATCTAGAGTCAGATACCTTCATAATTGTTGTTCACCAAGGGAAGTGGCGGCTCATGTTGCAAAGATCCAATGGCTGTTCCCACATTGTTATATGTCAAGGCCGCTAATGATGTTTGGTTAAGAGGAAGTTCATCACCACCGCCGGTTATAGTGACACCGTGAACGCCGCCGTCGCCGCCATGCAAACGGGCGGCAGCGGAAATCATAACATCCTTGGCAAAACTGTTTTGTTGGGAACAATGACGTGTAGTACTCTCAGGCTGGCGGCGCACTTGCAATCCTAAAGGCGCGTTTGGACTTCCTCCCAATAATAATAAAGGTTGGCTTTTTTGCAAACTGACCCCCTCAGATTCAAACTCCTTTCTCTTCCCACCCAGATTGCTCATCATATTTGGTCTATTATTCATCACTCCCATAGTTGACCAATTCCATGGCCGTTTCTTAGTATAATCATTATTACGATTATAGTAATTATTACCAAACAAACTGCTCTTATTCTGCAAAAACTCATTCCCACTCCTTTGGCGCATCCCCAAGAGTCCCAAATTTAATGGGGGATTTAAATTATTATTATTATTAAAATAATAATTTGTGGTGTTATTATTTTGAAATAAACCACGATTTCTACTCAATCCTGGACCTTGAGAACCAATGAAATCCCATTTATTAAGAGGGTTAAGAGCATTGTTCCATATAAATCTTCCTCTAAAATTACCCAAATTACTATGGCACCAACACCGGCATGAGCAAAAACAACGACCATTATTTCCAGGAAGTAATGGTCCATTTGACTTTTCGGGTAATGAGTCATTTTTTTGCAATTGAGACCCCTCAACTTTATCCTTCTCATTTTCATCCCCGTCATTGGGCAATTCAGTGGGATTGGAAACCTGTGCTACTTTATCTTCTTCTATTTTTTGCATTTTCCTTGGCCGCCCTCTTTTGGATGTTTTCTGAAATATAACATTATTGTAAATACCAATTGAATAATCAGGTTAAAAACTATGCACAATTAAATTTAAGGAAAATTGTCAATTTGGTCCTCTTACTACTATGAAAACGTCAATTAATTGGCCACTTTAAAAACAATCAATCAAAACCCCAAATTTTGAAAAAATGTTCAATTGAGTCACTCAACAAGTTACCTTTAATGTCAGCAAAGTAACCCTCTGATATGTGCGCACGTCAGCAAAATCACTTTTGACTAGGCTGCCACATGTGTGCCACATCAGTCGTGACTTGCTGATGTGGCGGGTAACCTACTAATGGACTCAATTAAATTTTTTTTAAGTTCGGGATTTGAATGATTTTTTAAAAGTACGGGAACTTAATTGACGTTTTCATAGTACGAGGACCAAATTGATAATTTTTCCTAAAACTTAATATGAAATCATAATAAGAGTTTTAGAACTTGCCTCATTTGAGTCATTTTGATCATCTGGAACCCTCTCTTTGGGGCCATGAAGAATGTAGTTTATCACTTCTGAGACTGATCTATACTTTCCCCTCTTACCTATGTGGTAATAGAACTGCATGGGAATCATGCATCATACCATTAATTAGTTTTCAATAATGTAATTCAAATTTCTCATATATGGGAGAAGAAGTACGTAGAAATATAATTAACGTAATAAACTAACAAACTAATGACTTTTAGTACGATGTTACAAATGAAGTAATTACCCGGTCAAAATGTTTTCCGGTTGCTCGAAGCCTTACTTCCACGAGCCAGCCAAATAGTCTGCTATTTTCTCCTTCAGGCGGCTCAGTCATTTCTTCTTTGTTGATCTACAATTAGTCACAGCATACTAATAAAAAAAACTTGCATAAATAGGATAAAAATAAAACCCATTTCTAAACATTATTGATTTACACTACAAAAAAACACGGGATTGGCAGGGATTTTGGCAGGGATTTGGCAGGGATACGCCAAATCTGTGCCAAAAACACTTTGGCACGAGCTATTTGGCACGAAAAATTGATAAGTCCGTGCCAATCCCGCTTTTTTTTTTGTAGTGTTAATGTAACATATCATAGGATTCGTGAACTTTTCTCGTCCATTTTCGATCAAGAAAAATCAATATGGTCATATTTTTCTCAGACTATGTGTGCATATGGTCTAGAGAGTTTTAAACTAATTACATTGGAACATGTAAATACAGATTACTTAAGAGTGAAATACTGAAATTATATGGTCTATATGGTCAAAATAATCTAAGAGAAGAGTGAGTTTGTCATTTCCAACATGTATTATAAGTAGTGTATGATCAACTTGGCATAGTATATAATCTCAAACTTATGTTTGAGTATTCTGAACACAAAATCTGGAGATCTATCATCTTCATGAGGGATGTTAATCATTGGCCACATGTGACTAGGGCTGATTTTTGCGCCGCCACCCGAATTTTCTTCGGGGAAAAGTCTGACAGTAATGAAATTTAATCAAATGTGTAGTACGTAGTACTTTATTATTAATCAAATTTGACCATCATTGACTAAAAAAAATCATGTGACTAAGTTTGATTGAGCGTAGTATGAAATATAGATCCAAGATAGAATCCCGCCCTCCAATGATTTTATTGTATTTTATTGTAAATTTAAAATTAAAATATCAAGACCAAATGTTAATCATTTGGAATGATTAGAAACCTTAATAATCTCCAATTTGTGCTTCCCGGGATTTTCTGGATGTGGCTTCAGTTGGAAGTTTGCATGAAAGGTCTCTACAAGTGCAGTTTTTTGCCTCACTTTAGGCTTCACTTCTGGCGATTTCTCCTACGAAAAATAATAATTTATATAAGAAATTAAAATAGATAAAAACATACATATATATAACTAATTAAAGCCCTAATCGTTTTACAAGCCTGAATCCAGTCAATTTGTCCTCTACTGGATAATAGACTGGGAAAATGATAATAGAAAATCAGAAATGAACACTAAAAGAAATATTCGAATGAAATGCCAGTTTTGAAAAATATAGATATAAATGTATATACAGATCAGATGCTTTTAAACTCAAATTCGTACCAACTCTTGACTTTGAGAAGAGGGAAGAGGATGAATACAACAAGGGTTGAATTCCATTTTCAAGTACTCGATCTCTATCTGAGTATTTTCAGAAAGAGAAGTACTGAAAATGATAGCAAAAAATAAGAATGTTCTAAGTGCCAATGTTGTTGGATGTGTTTCAAGGAGCCAGGAATGTTGTATATATATATATATATGCGTCTGTGTCATGTGTGCATGTATATTGAACAGAAATGATTACCCCTCTTAATTACAAAGTCAAAAAATAAATATATTTCTCAATTTTCTTTTGAAACAGTTAAAGATATGATAAAAATTGTAATGTTTTGATCAATTGTATGTTTGAATATACGTAGTCTTAGATATTAGAGAACATATATTCATTTTAACTGTGTAATGTGTTAAAAAAAGTTCAATAAAATAAGAGTAAAACATATGCAAAGTTCTAAAGTATCACTATGTTTTTTTCTCAAAATAAGATTTATTTGATCCTACTTACAGGAAAAAAAAATCTAAATAATAGTGATCGCATCATATTTTAGGGAAAAATAATGTCTTCCTCTTGGTCATGTTGTCTTTTCTTTGTCAATGATTGTCAAGTTTGACCGATTATATTTTTTTATATGGAACTATTTAAAATATGAAAATTATATGAATATATTTTTTTTCATAAGATTTCCAAAAAGTATTAAAGTTATAATTTTAACATAAATATAATAAATAAAATCATTGTCGAAAATGTGTTATCATTGATCAACAAAAGTCAAGTTGACCAAGTTTTTTATGGGACAGAAAGGGTTATATATATTTTACTCTTCTTTTGAATTTATTTGTTAAAATATAGGGTTCTTTTCAAAAATATAACAAAATAAAACTTATTTACAAAAATATAACTAATATTTACTACAATATAGTGTAATGGTAACTTAAGGGTAAATTTTAACATAAATGTTATGATTCCATTTTTACACTAGAGACTAGTCACATTTTATAAGCAATATTGATTTTAGTCATAAATATTTTATTATTTCATTCAAAGAAACATATCTTCTAATTATTAGATTTATCTGGATATAAGTTTATGTATTTTTTAAAGGATATAAGTATATATATTTGATCCAACTTTATAGTTTTATATTTATTATTATTATTATTATTATTATTATTATTATAAAGAAAAATTGTGGAATGTTCTTATTATCTGAACTGTAATTCAAAATTCAAGTCAAAGTGAAAGGCGCCACAAATGAATTACTGGGCGGGTAGGAGCGTGCATTGCTGATGTGTATTTTCCTATTTGGCTGGATATTGGAAGATTTAATAAGACGTGTTTCTTCAATTTTCAAATTAATATGAATATCTGTCTACTCTTAAAACATACGTCAAATATGCCCAAATGTCTCTTTTAAGACTTGGTAACAAGTATTTTAAATCACATTAAAAAATTTACCAAAACTATATTGCTAAATGCGTCACTGAATTCGAATTGTAAATCGTCTTGATAAAGAAAAAAATTGATAAAGAGAACAATTGGATGAAGGGAATCACTATACTGTGCATTCAATTTGGTCTATCAATTTTAAAATATAAATTAGAAAGATATTTATTATATTTTCCTTAATTGCACAAAGAAGCT